TTATAAATTCGAATGTAATTTGTTTTGAATCACGTAATGATTTCAACACAACTTTTCGTTCTTTAAATTGTCTAAACTTGTTTTCTTCATGATCCCACTTTATTGGTTTGTGTAACCAGATTGCTTTGAAAATTGATCCAAAACCTCCTTTTGCAAGATATTCAATGTTGGTAAATCTTTCAAATGGAATCCATTCAAAAGATTTATTAATGGCCGCACATTCATTTATTAGACTGTCGACATCTTTATTTTCGCTAGACCATTTAGTTTCATAAATTCGTTTATGATAATCTAAACATCTAGAACAGGAGGAATTTAATTGACAATCGGTACATTTACTACAATCATGAGTGAAACAGAAATTTGAACACTCATTGCAGTAGGAATTATATCGGCAATCGGTGCATTTTCTACAATCATGAGTATTATGTTCTGAGCACTCATCGCAGTTATTTTCTTGACAATCGTAGCATTTACTACAATCATGATGTTTCGAAATATTAAGTTCCACCTTTCTGAAGTGATTATATGCTACGTTTGATATATGAACGTACATATTTATTGAAATGATGGTAAAGCAAGAGAATAACGATTATATAAAAATTATTCTTCATAGAATTTTCGGATTTTTAAGCTTACTGATTTAAGCTTACCGTTACTAATTTAAGATTACTAATCAGAAATCCGTATCGGTATCGTTATAAATTTTTCTGTAACCGTAATTTATTGAAAATCATTGCCAGCTAACGCTAATGCTAAAAGCTGAAAATTAAATACAATCGATTCTCTCTATAACGAACCTCTTTATAATGAACTCTGGATATAACGAACCTTAAATTTTTAAATGTTATATTATTTCGTTATAAAAAGAGTAGTGGGTTCTAGAAAACATAGTGATTTATATAACGAACTTTTTTTTTACTAACAGAACCGTTAGTTTGTTATAGAGAGAGTCGACTGTACTGTAATGAGGATAAATCTATGCCAAGAAAATAGAAAAACACCACGAAAATAAGCTTATTCTACTTAACTTTTAATACACACTTTACTAACTACCAATTTCGCTAAATTTTATTTTTTACCAATTTTTACCAATAATTTCGTCCCAAATTGACGAACAATCAATTGACACCCGCACTTGCTAACCAACAAAAACCTGGTCACAACCTAAATTAACTCATCCTGAATTCACTTTATAATATTTTTTTTTAAGAATCATAAATTATTACCAAGGGTAATCATTAAATAATGAATTCTAACAGACACACATTTACAATAGGGTTCCGAAATTTACCGAACCGTCACCTAACCGAGATTATCGGTAACTTTCATGTATATAAAAAGGTTATTATAGATAAAAGATTTATATTTATTTTCTTTTGAAATGTGGGTAAAAATCTAACGAAACGATGATGATTTACAGTCAAAACTCGATATCGATATAACGATATCGATAGGTCGTGATAATTGCTAAAGGATTCTGTAAATATCGTTATATTGAGAATTCGTTATAAAAATCGTTATCTCAAGGCAATTTTATTAGATGTGTTTCGGGTCGTCATCATTATATTTAAAATTTTAATTATAACAAGTATCGGTATATCGAGTTTTGGTTAAAAACGGTCGTATCGATAAACCGATATTACCGATAATTATTCGATCCATTCGATTCGAATAATCTCGGTAAAATTACCGAGCCCTAAATATACTTAGTCAAATCTGGAGATACTGAAATTGGTTATAGGAACAGTTATGGTAAACCCACCTTGATGAACCGAAGTTGGTTCCAGGAACAGTTTCACGTTATTCCCGTCAAACCAGATATGTTGGGCTGAACTTTTTTGTCCAGGTGTCTGCATCATTTTTGAAATTGAGTGATTTCGTGTCAAGTTGTGCGCAGGATTTGAAATGGGTAGCAATTAAAATTGAATAATGCTATTTTTTGCAATATTAAAAAATCAGTTGGCAGTATTAAGAATCTTAAATTTATTAGCGTTAGTAAATCATTTCAATACCGATACTTTTTATCATTAATGTAAACTTTAGTACTGAATTCATGCACTAGTTGCACATATATAATAATTTGTATACATATCGACAACACATAATCACTAAAAGATTTTATGTACATATACAAAGTATCAAAAGAATAATCTTTATCTTTCGATTATCGCTACCAACTGAATGGTCTAACGAAATAAAGATATCGACAAGTTAATAAACGAATGCGAGAAAATCGGTTTGAAAAATTTTCAAATATTGAATACCTTGCAAGAGGAGGGTTTCAATTTATAACGAATAGATTTCACTTAAATGTGGGATCGTGAAGAAAATAAATTTAAACGGTTTGGAGAACTCGAAATCTTTCCTTCAAAGCAAATTACATTAGTTTATAAATGAGGTAGAGATAAATAATTTCAAGAGTGTAAACAAGATTATTTTTTATTTTCCAATAGAATTAAGTTTTTCGAAAAAGATTAGATATTATGGAATAGCCAAAAAACCAGCTACAAATGAATACTCGATAGTAAGGACATAAATCAGGTGATTTTTATTTAATATAGAGCATCACCTGACATATCATATATCTACATGTATATGGTGCATGCTATCTAAAGTCATCAAACGTTTGTATTTTATAAAACGGATAAACTTCTTTACTAAGAAGTAAATACAAAATTTAATCCGTAAATATGGTAGAATAGACCATTTCTGAGCATATTTACGGATTACATTTTTTAGTTACTTCTTAGTAAAGAAGTTTATCCGTTTTATAAAATACAAACGTTTGATGACTTTAGATGGCATGCACCATAGTTATGTTGGTCCCTAATAAATCTGATAATTTGGCTGACCCACCCACCCACTCAAAAATCAGGTGATTTTCGTCAGCTCACTAATGGGGGTCCACTGAAGCCAGGGAACTCTTACTAACACCGGCGGTCTCGGAAAAACGCCAAGAAAAATCAGTCAACTTTGGACGCTTATATTTCTCCCAATATTCAACCAATTTTTGTGGTCAGATTTCATGCCAGTGGTGTTGCTAATGAGTATTGGCGCTTCTTTTCATCCCAACCGGAATTTTTCTGGGACAAACCACAAAACAAGACATTTGTTTTGATTGTGATGGTGTTATGCAGAATTCAGCCAATCATTGAATTTGTTACAGATATACGTAGGTCATATGTATTAAGTCAATCCGGATAATTATAAGATTATCCGAGTTGGCTTGACTTAATACTTAATTCACTACTTTGCTTTAGTGTTTCCCCTAATGGGTTATTCAAGACGTGGTGATATTCGCAAATACAGTATATATTCCAGTACGAAAGATTGTCCTGGGAAAAAATTAATACATTTGCTTTGTATTAGCAGTAGAATGAGTGCAATTCATAGAGAGATTTGTACATCGTGACTTACGTCCCAAAAATACATTAATGGTTGATATTGCTCAAATTACTGATTTTGGACTTACCGGCCAACTAATGATGAGTATAATCTAAGCCCTCAAATAATGCTCCTGGATGATGCAAATTTATTGTTGAAAATTATTGGGATCCCATTCCAGAAGACTTTATCAGATCTATCTACTCGTATCATTAAGCAAGAAACGAAAACTGAATACTTTGCATTTTCAGTACAGCTCTTAGAGATTAGATGAACTTGAAGCAGATGGAATCGCAAAGTAAACCTGATAATGAGAAGAATATGCAAAAAAGCATTCTTACGAATTTGAATGATAACGAAATCTATCCAAATGCAGTTGGCATTTCATATTAATTATCAACTTTATTTTAGTATAACAAATTGAATCGGCGAGAATGGAGATATCGATATATCGATCGATATTGAGTTGCTTTCAATAATGAAACACTCAACCTATATAAAAATCCTGATGGTATCATATCGATATCAATTCCTTTTAACATCTTAAGCAAAAATTTGAGTTTCAAATCTATTTTGGTAAGCTTTTAATTCTCCAAATAATACAAAACATCTAGTAAATCTCAAACTAAGTCAGCCGAAATAGGACCGAAACCTTTTATCGTTGAATCTTTGCTAAAGCTTTTTTTTAAAATACTCAGCTCTGTATCGAAATTCCAGAAGAGAAAGTTTCACTATTTTAGCAAAGCGACAGCTATTGCTCGAAGTAAGCAGTAGTGAGAGTTTGTGCCGCTGTGTTTGGGCAGGTGACGCGTTTAAAGAGGGGATGTCGATATTTGCTGAACAATGTTTCCGGCAGACCTTAATTAGTAGGCCACCTATTAGAAGCGCGACGCTAAAAAAATGCGTAGATTTGTCCTAAGAAACATGAAATTCAGAGAAGTGAGTTTTAATTTATTATTATAATTTAAATATAAATATTATTAATAAAATAATAATTAAAATTACAATTAAATATAGCTTATTTATAGTAAAAATTTTTTAATATTCGTATACAAGCTTTAAAATTAATTAATAATAATTATAAGTGTTTTATTATAAGTAAAAACTTTATTATATATTTAAATTAAAGTATATTTTTGGACGAAAAGTGACACGATTCGTTTGCAGGCTCCTGAGCTCAGCTTTGCGCTTCGACTGCAGAATAGCCGCGGCGGAAAGCTCCCTCCCTGCTTCACTTTTCGTTTTTCATTTATTTTTTTTATATACTTGCATTTGCTTTTTTCCTTTCGATTTTGTATTTCTTCTTGCTTGAAAAAAAATACTGGAAACGAGAAGGCTGGAAAGCTACACAATCCGTTTCCTGCTAGAAAGTTACAGAGCTTAGGCTTTGTACTCTGACTGCCGAATAGCCACAGCGGGAAGCTTCGCATTTTTCGCCAATTCGCCCTCCCTCTGCTTTTCCTTTCGTTTTTTCTCAACAATACTCCTCGCGGCCTACTATTTCTATCATAGCTATAAATCATGACTAAAAAGCTTGTTGCATTCTATCAGTTGCCCGTGTGACTGCGTCTCACATGGGCTCAGCTGTCGGTTGTAGGTACCGATGAGACTGCATGGTTATGGGCGTTGCATCCCTCGCTACAACTAGCTTGTTGGCTCGGTAAGGTAATCAGATGCACTCCTTTCCCTTTTTGCCTCACTTTGCCTTTTTTCGCTTTAAATACAGGTTTTCGAAAGCAAATAAACTTGAGCAACCTCTACGCTACGAAAAAAAACTTGGTGGAGAAGATGTTTGGTATCTTGGAAAATGACGGGACGAATATATGGAAAGTTGTGAGAAAAGTGTATTTTTTTATTTTGGTGATTTTTTACTATTGGCTGCTTCAGAATGACCTAAGTAAGGATTTTTCGAGTCTTGGCATTGCTCAAATGAGAAATTCTTGTAAAAGCCAACTGATTAGTCCCATGAGCTGGGACGAAACCCAAGAATCTATTGCGTTTGTAAATGTGACCATCCTTCAGGATGCAATTAAAACTCTGTTCGGGTCGGGTTTGATCCGAAAATTGTAAAATAGTTTTTCGTTAATAACTTTTATTTTTACTAAGACCCTTGTATTTTGTGTCTTAAATAGAGATGTTCGGAATGTAATCTGTATATATCCATAAATTTTTGTTTAATTTAAATTAATATTGAACGAGAAATAACGTTTTTTAGGCTGACCCTATTCCTATTTCAGGGTTGACCCGATTGGAGCATTAGATGTAATATCTATCTTTTGTGTGTGGAGGCTTTGCGCAATTACAGTATATGATATTTGGTATGGTATTAATCAGAAAAAGGTTAGGTATGATTTCGGGAATCTACGGATCAAGCAAAAAAAGTAGTCCTATGATAATATGTATTGACATGTCAAGCAAAGAGCATGATATGATTAACCAGCTTATTTCCCGGTGCTTTGCATAAGAAAATGAATATGTTGAACGTTTATGTTATCAAATAAAAAGTTTGCATATTATTGTAATCTATATTCTGGATAATGGATGATTGATATAAGCAATCAACTCGAGTTCTTCAAGAAATGTTTAAACGCAAATATCTATTGTTATGTAATGGCTGCAGAATTAATTTGGCCATTTGTACAAAATCAGAACAAATGGACCAAGAAACAAATTATGAAAGCTATAATTAGGCATCACTCACATCACATTGAATCATAATTATATTGATGAGATTCTTGTCGTTGAAGAACACGGCGGAACCAGGCTTGAATTTTGGTGGCCGATTCTTTGGCCTGTAGAGTATCGTGAATTCGACGAAACCAAGCTTTGATTTTTATTGCCGAGTCTTGTGCTTCTTTCGAAATTTCCAACTTTTCACTATTCCGATCAACCATTGGTGATATTTGTCGAAGAGCAAAATGGAATTCCTCAACAGTGATATATTTAAGCTTCACAATGCCATGTTGCTCCAAGTTAGAAAATTTTGACAAGCCTCCCCAATTATAATAAACGATCACCAAAGAGTCACAATCTATCTCTTTAAGATCATTGTGAAGAATGATCGCAAGGCGATTCATATTACTTTCATTCAAGTATTTTTCAAGCTTTGGGGAAAATACTCTCTCTTTCAGTGATTTAGATCGGTGTTTAAAAATATCAAAAATCTTGGTTGCAAAAGTAGGTTCGTTTAGGCCTATAAGAACCAAGAGTCGTATTATTCTGAGTATGATGATTAAGTAAACTTGTCCAGTAAAAATCAGCAGGTCAAGAAGTTGTTGAACTTGATCAATGGTATTCTCGATTTCAGCCCGATAATCAATTCTGTTGTAACAGAGTTGGTTGTGAATAAGCGGCTCCACAGTAAACGCGTCAAAATAATTAACCAAATAAGCTCGGGGGAGGCAAAAATCACAATAATCAGGACCAACTGCAAAAACCAAAGATGTTTTGAACTCCATAAGCGATATAAGGTCACCAAATGCATCTTGTGTATTTATATTGATTAATTCAGCATTGTCGATAGTGTATTGAATAAAAATTTTCACGTGCTTGATCGCATCTAACACACAGTTATCATCGAGACTTGAAAAGAATAATGAAAGTCTCGTTCCAACAGGAACAGCTAAATAATTTTCCGAGTATCTTTGTATTATTTCCGAATCAAATTTGTAAATCCCCCATTTGTCTTGTAATTGGTGAAGAACAAGCGTGCATTCTAGCATCAGCGAAAAGTCTTTGGGATTATTGAACACAAAAGGTAACCAATACTTGTGAAAAAGCTCAATTAATCCATCACGTGTAATTTTAGAAAGTTTGGAAAGCACTGCATATGTGACTTCTGGGCAGCTTGTCTGAGGGGATTGGTAGCGGATATGAATTTTCACAAGTTTTTCAGCCCAAAATCTTTGTAGTCCGAGAGCTTTTTCACTTTGTTCCTTTTTAAGAAATCGGTGACGGTACAATACATCCAGTTGTTGCATCACAGTGTACTGAAAGCAAGCAAGTGAGAAACGTTTGTGCAGAATTGAAGGTGTTGGAATAATGTGACACTTTCGACAATTTCGACAAGCTTGCTTTAGACCGGACGCAAACTCGAAACAGATTTCGGAACTTATATCTTGGATCTTTCTACCTTTAAAATCAGCTTCACAGATTTGCTTATAGATATAAAAAGTAAGAAATTTCGAGATATTCTTGTTCAAAAACTCCTCGTCGTATATATGCCAATTGCCCAAAATTTCTACAGAATTTTCTACATCATTTTGATTCAGAAAGTCGACGAAGTGATTGTCCAAAGATATTTGTCGTTTATTTTGACGGTTCTCAACTTCGTTTACAATGAAAATATCCTGAAAATGTTCGTTGATTTTTCTAGTATTCTCGCTTTGTTGAGGAGCTAAAAAAGAAAAGGCTAGACTACATAATCTTAATAAGCATCGCAATCGTTCCTGCCAGTTTTCGGTCTGAATATCAGATCTTAAGCTATCAATATGCAACCATATAACTAACGCACGAAACTCACTGACGTGATCTTTACTCTCTCTAAACAATTGCATACACTTGCGAATTCTATTGAGATCCGAATCCAAATAAGCCGAATATAGCTGGAACTCTTCTTTTAGCCTCCACCCATTATATTTTGTAATGATAGTAATTGCCTTGGAAAGGTAATTATTTAGTACAGAGGAATCAGAGGAATCAGAGGAATTCAGGTTCACGAAATCTATCATTGTCTCTTTCAGTACTTTGACTCTAAATAGACACAAGCAGCATCGTAAATACTCCATACAATCATCGTCCTTGTTAATTAAGCGAGGAAAAATATCTGCCGCCTCATTGAACTTCCCACACAAGCGTAAGTATTCAGCAGCGACACGAAATTGGCCATTCTTTTTGCAGAACTCTGGAAACTCTTCCGGTACATGCTCTCGAAGGAAATTCATTTGTTTCTCCAAAGTTGGAAAAAGGGAGAGAGCTTTCTCGCTCATTGTCTTGTTGTTCACCCGGCGGTAATGGATATTAACAAGATATGCGATTTGGTTGGATGTTTCCCCGTCAATGTTTCCTCTGCGACTTATTTAGAAAAATCTATATTGTTATTACATAATATATATGCTAAATTGAATTACTGAATATTAGGACAAAGATTTTTTTACCTTTCAATCAAATTAATGACATTTTCAGCATACTTATTTGCCACTTTAATATACTTTCCTGAATTTTCAAATTCAGAAACCTTAAGATAACAACGCGCGGCATGCTCAAACATATTCCGTTCGAAGTAAGCTCCAGCAGCTTCAGTATACTTATTTGCCTTTTTAAAATACTTCACTGCATTTTCAAAGTCAGGAATCTTATGATAACAACGCGCGGCGTTCTCAAACATATTCCGTTCAAGGTAAGCTCCAACAGCTTCAGTATACTTATTTGCCTTTTCAAAATACTTTCCGGCATTTTCAAAGTTAGGAACCTTAAGGTAACAACGCGCGGCATGCTCAAACATATTCTGTTCAAGGTAAGCTCCAGCAGCTTCAGTATACTTATCTGCCTTTTCGAAATACTTTACGGCATTTTCATAGTTATGAATCTTAAGATAACAACGCGCGGCATTCTCAAACATATTCCGTTCAAGGTAAGCTCCAATAGCTTCAGTATACTTATTTGCCTTTTCAAAATACTTTCCGGCATTTTCAAAGTTAAGAACCTTAAGGTAACAACGCGCGGCATTCTCAAACATATTCTGTTCAAGATAAGCTCCAGCAGCTTCGGTATACTTATTTGCCTTTTTAAAATACTTTCCGGCATTTTCAAAGTTAGGAACCTTAAGATAACAATGCGCGGCATGCTCAAACATATTCTGTTCAAGGTAAACTTCAGCAGCTTTTTCATACATGTCAATATCCTGTATGTTTTGCATATTTGTAAGTTAATTTAAAATATTTACATATATTAATTTTGAAGGATACCTCATAGCATGAAGCCACTTGCATCAGCCGATAACACTCTCGAAATGCATCAGCTGCACGATAAAAATTCGAAATCACAGTGTTCCGATCAGAATCATATATGGAGGCCCTTGCTATCTTCCGAAGATGATAGGCCTCAGCTAGCTTGCGATTTTTACAATTTTTACTCTTCTCGAAGCAGAAAATAGCCTGAAAATAATTTTCATTTCTTTTAGTTTTCCCATGTCATTAAATGATATTAAATATTGAAATCAATTTCAACCTGTTCATACTGTCGCATTTCAAAAAACTTCTTTCCTTCTCGGTTCCATTCTGCTAAACTGCTCTTCTTAGCAATCTTGGAAAAAAACGCCTTCCACTCTGTTGAACTGCTCTTCTTATCATCCTTAGGAAAAGAATCCTTTTCTTCTCGATCCTCACTTCGGTTCACTTTAACTAGTCCATGATGCTCCCAGTATCTGCAGATTGGTTCGATATATGCGCTTTCGTCAAATATCAAGATGTGTTGCCGTGCCCTAGTAACTGCAACATAGAGATGCTTAAGTTCGGAGGAAAGTATGTTATATTTTTCATGATAATTGGTCTGAGCATTTTCAGTCTTATTTCCCAAAGCATAGTTGATTAATTGCCACTATGATATACACATATAACGAAAACAACATTCAATAAAAGACTTTATGTAAATGATAAAACAAATGTGTGAAAATTACCTTCAGACCTCCAGGCGAATCAGTAAAGAAATTATATAATATCACATCATTAAACTCCATTCCTTTTGCCTCATACACTGTCATCACCAACCCAGATTTTCTAATTATGTTTTTAACATGTGATTTAGATTCTTCATTACGTACAATAATGACCTGCTCAGCTCCGAACTCGATATAATTATCAGGATTCTCAGCAGTAGAAAAGGCATTTAAGGTTTCAGCTCGAGTTCCTTTAAAAACTTCAGGCCGGGGACCACCAACCTCACCACGCTCACGTGTTAAACTATCAATTGTTCTAGGAAAAAAGCGCTCTATGAGATAAATTATTGAAGCAGCGAGTCGAAGGATCCCATTATGGGAACGATAATTAATGTTTAACTCGAATGTTTTTGGTTTTATAGCACTGCGAGAGATATTATTAGCTTTAATTCGATCACGTTCCCATTCATACATCAAGGCACTTATGTCTATATTAAATTAATCAAAAGTTTATTAGCAGAGCATTGCTTTAGAGTTTCAAAATAAGAGTAAAACATACTCTGGAATCGGAAAGAAGAGCCCTTGGCTATACATTGCGCTATATCTCCAGCTAAAAAAATGCTGTCAACGTGGACGAATAATTTCAAGATAAGACCAAAATCCACAATCTGGTTGTCCTGGCATTCATCAATATATACTTCATGAATATGTGGACGTTCGAGTGGGCTTTCCATGGCACGACGTAAAATAGCAATCGTTCTACCAATAAAGGTTTAATAACTTGATGAATTCTATCAAAACTAACGTTCACAGAGCTTACCGATCCATTGAGTCGTGATCACGATTACGCGCTTTCATTATCTCATATCGCTGAAATAAGTCGTAGATTTGATCCCGATTGTGGCAAAATGCGGGGTATTTTTTAATGCTCACAGTCTGATAATCCTCTCTTGATAAACACTTTCCTTCGGGATTCGATCCCTAGGGAAATATAATAAAAAAATGTAAAAAAATATGGTTTGATAAAGTTTTATATATGATTACATACCTTAATAATAGAGAACTCCGAATAGACCAACTCGCAATCAAATTTACTATTTAAACGATTCCAATATCTTTTCTTAAAAACATCATAGTCCACAAAATGTGCCCATGCTTTGTTAAATGTGTTGAAAAAGGATGACTTTGGATGAGATTCTTCCTCTTCGTCATTATCTTTATCTATTTCCGATTGCCGAGCATCAATTCCGTATGTCCCCTCAAGCATTTCAGAAAACTTTTTGTAGGTAATAAATAATGGGAAATGAGCATCGTTTAGCTGAGAAAACGAGTTTGGGATTTTACTTAAATCCCTGTCTTCATCTTCCTCTTCAAGCATTTTGTTATTGATCGGATCGATATTCCAGTCCTCCGTCTCTTTTTTTTTCGCATACTCATAGAACTGATCTCTCGACATCTTTGCCTCAGCAAGTAACGCCGATTCTTGCAACCCGTAGAAGTATTCTTTTACTCGATAGCATAGATTGTGGCTCACTGTGATGAATATTTGTCTTATGTGTGAATTGTCTGTGTTTCTACTTTTGACTTTATATATCGGCGTCTTATAGAATGGATAACTTGAACTGTTGAGATATGAGGCAATTAGTCTATACACGATACATGTGGTCTTGCCTGTACCTGTGAAAAGTTGGGATCAAAATGGTGTTCACTTTTTACTAATGATGCCGACTAAATTAGACTACTAACCTGATCGACCAATTATGATAGCTGAGGTGGGATTGTTGATAATTTCATACTCTGATTTTGATAGCTGAAAAGTGAAAACAGTGCCACCCCTTACCAGTGATTTAAACAAGTTCTGCAAATAATATGGATTTACATCATCAGTTGAAACATGTTCCAGCTTTAAATTCTTAATTATCATGATTCCTTTACCTTTGATAAAGCAACAAATTTACTGGTAACAAGCATTTTGTGAATCTCTAACAGACTCTCATTGTCCATTTGAGAATTATAAAACTCATTCTCTATGGATTTTTTAACTTCCTCTAAAAAGATTTTCGGTAAAATTATACCATTTCTGCCAATCTGTCGAGCGGTACACCTGCCAATTTGCTCAGGTGTATAAACTCGATGAAGCATTCCGAGATATTCCAATATCTTGTCAATCTGATCTTGGTTGGCAGTGACAGTCCAAACTTTCACATGTTGCGTAAGCAGGTAGCTACGGAAAGAAAACCCGCAGTCAACCTGCCAGAGGATTTTCAGGCCGTCATGATTATGGAGTTCCGTTTCATTAACAGGGATTGGGAGAGATGGAACCTCAAGTTTCAGTCCGTGCTTGCTCCAAGCCCCGGAAGATATATCCCCTAGTTTTTCTATGACAGCTTTAATCTCCAGAGGTGACAAATGCGACATATTTTTTATTGCATCTTCGCTTATCAGAATATCCCACGGCCCAAGTCTATCATCTTCATTGAAATCAAATGGAAGGCGGAAAATGTGTTTTGATGGGTTAAATGTTCTATATTTTGTTGGCTTCTCTTCTTCCATGAATGAAGAGTATTTGTCGAGATGAAAATGTATGTCTGCTTGTTTCTGACAACTTAGATAGCTGAAATGAATTTACAAATAATGAGATACTTTGTCAAAAAGGTGCTTTCCCACACTAATTATTGGCAGCATTCTGCTTGTCAGCCATATTAATTATATCATATGTAAGCTGTAACGTAAACGAAAACCATTTCTATACTATTTAACGTCATTGCTATACCATTTAACGTTAATGTATTTTTACACATATAATGTGAATACATTTCAAAACGATTTTAAATCGAAAAAGAATATTTTACTCGATATTATACATGTATATACATGTTCTAAGTAGGAGATAAATATATTTTAAACACACAAAATTTCAAATAAAAACAAATACAAATGACAAATTAATTCTCTCTAGTTCTCAGTAACTAATAATTGATTTACATCATTACGACTTGTCTTATCAACTTGATGGTTTATTTTTTTATCTCTTTGGATTGTGTAACGGTAATGATTTCAACACAAAACATTGATTGTCCAAATTTATTTTTTTCATGATCCCACATTTCAGTCAATGGTCCGTCCACCCTGCTTTATAAACTGATTCAAAACCTCCTTTTGCAAAATATTCAACATTAGCGTTGGTAAAATCTTTCAGATGGAATTTATTCAAATAGCAGTGTTCATTGTTTCGACAACAAATACACCTATCATCAAGGGGTGCAGACATAACTGCTGTATTTTATGAAATAGGCTGTAACTAGTTACGACATATGTCGTAACTCTCTGAGGGTCATATGTCTGCCCCCTGTTTATAATGATTACTGTGTTCATGCTCTTTGACATATAATATGTACATGTACTTTGTGCAAATATTAAAATTGTTAAACAATAATACTTTTAATAAAATATTAAAATTTAATATGAATGGATAAATATTTCCTAATCAATCTGGCTTCACGAAATCAAGTTTGCCAAACTGCCACCACTCAAAAGGATTCAGCAATTTGGGATCCAATTCAGAGAAAGGATTTGAAACTGTCGAAGTGCAACGATACTTCTGCTTTGTACGTGTACACGTATACTGTATCTCGTATTATTTGAAAAAAAACAAGTTAAATTGTTGGACAGGTGCCACATAATTTCATTGATCAACCGGGTTGCGGGACCCTCGGTTCATATAATACCGATACATATGTATTCTAGATTTTCTTTTGAGTAACATCAATACATGTATTTCTGTAACTGTTACCCGTAATTGATTAATTGATAAATTAATGAAAATACTTGTTCTTGGCTTTTCGATGTTTGTTACACTATGGAATTTCGTGATAGTATCCAAAATTTCTAATTGATTGCATTTTTTGAGCCAAAACTATTATCGTTATCGGATAAAAAAACTCTTCAATAGAGTGTATTTTATAAATTTAAAATAAAGTCTATTCTATCATATACGTAAAAGAATTGATTTACTTCCCCGCAGTTGTGAAGTTTACTATTATATCGATATACTTTTTTGATCGACTGGTGTCACGTATGTGTGTATCATTAATAGTCGAGTTATCAAACTTTATCAATAGATGGTTACAGTATGCTGAAAAAGGTACATATATAGCACATTTGAGATTATCTAATTCGTTATGCTTGATAATCCACAGCTTTATTAACGTTAAATGATTGTTACTTGGCTAAAAAAAATTAGTTACTGTTACGAACAAATCAACTAAATTTCAAATATGCAAAGAAATTTTTAGGGAATTTCAAATTAGATTTTTGGTTTCATATTTGCATATACATGTAAAACAAATTGTTATAGTAATTATATTTAGCTCCGAAACCAATTCGATCAGGCATAGCATAAATTCCTGAGTCAATAAAACGCTTGTTAAGCGTGTGCTGAATACATATTTTGTTAGATTATCACAAGTCTGACCAAAATAAATTATCGTCCCCTTTGCCGTAAACCAACACGCGTACTCAGTATTTTTGCATTCATAAAAGTTAAGTTCAGCAAAAGAATAGAAGAGTTGTGTTTGGAGTCAGAGTTCGACGATCGCAAGTAAAGTGTCGAATCACGAAGACGAAACCCATGAAAAACGCGTGGTTTGAATTGAGGGAATTCACTTTCAAATAAGTGTTTAAAAATTGCAGATACCTTGAATTTCAGATTTAAAATAGGCACTTCAAGTTATGGGCCTGTCTGTACTCTTACCAAGGATCAGATAAATCGAATCGTAATACAGGTAAACAATAATAGAAATAATCTTGAATGGGTTACGTAAATGGTTACATAATATTAAGAATATTAATTTCTGTCCTAACCCAGATTTATGCGATGATAATAATAATAATTACACTACTAAAAGTAAATTTTTAATATCATCCTGATTATTTTTTTGAAAATCAAAACACACAAAATCTTTTGGTTGTGAAAATTGGATGATCACTCAGAAGATAAATAACAAAAAAACAATACTTTCGAGTCATTTTCATTTTCTGGTTTTTTCTTAATTTATTTGCTTGAAGATATCCTTTTTCTGATTTAATTATCCAATGAAAAAGAGTTCATTTCTGCGTGTTTCATTCTAATTATTGCGAGTATGATTATCGTTATATCGATATCGATATGTGTAATCCGGGAAAGACTTAATACTGTATGACAATGCAAATATTTACAACGAACATCGGATCCGTGGCACAAATTTTTAAGTAAATAGATTAGTACTGGCTGAGTTTGGTTCATATGAACCTTTCTTGAATTGTTTTGAATCATGACATTATAGTCACTTTGGTCCCGTTTTATATTAAGAGACAATACGTAGAAATAATCTTGATTCTTGGAAAATTTCTGTAGATCTTTAGAGATCCTATTTTTGGGTCTAGAATAATATCTAACGCTAATGCTTCTATGTACATATGTCCGAGGGAAAAACTCAATCCAATAACTTGTTTTTACTATTTTTAAAATTAAACTTCTTTTCGACTAACTTCTTCTGTCCACAACCGTAACCGTATACAATGGATAAACATTACACAAGAATGTCATTATTAAAATTGTTAGTGATACGCGCCAGCAATTTGATAATGTTTAAAAACAAAGACAATAACGAGAATATTCACTGTTTCTTTCAGCCACCACATTTTTATTATTGTTGTCTTAATTTTAGGAATCTATATCTCGCAATTGCTTGTTACGCTAATCCAAAATGAAAAACAGATAGTTTACGCAACAGTCATCAATTAAGGTTTATTTTAATTAACCAATCAAATTTAAAGAGAATCGTTGTTTAAGTTGATGTGCATGCAAAAACCGCGAGTTAATTAAAAAGTAGGCAACGTTGTTTTTCTCCCTAACAGGTGATGCCAAACTTGTAATCACACAGGCACAAAGGAAGTATATTAAAAATATTATTTAAACGCTGTGAGAATTGGCAGTCATAAAACAATTGCTCTTTTAAAGAACATTAGTATTACTTACGGATTATTAAACAATCGTCTTTAACGAATATTAATTGTAACGAATATTATTATTAAATAAAAAATATCTTCAAATGGCGAGTTTAGACAAATTCTTCATTCAATACTATCTCTGGGGACTATGGACTATGGTATAATCCATTCAAGAATATTTTCGCAACTAACACAAATAACACTCGTTAATTTTCCCATGTAGTGTTTTTTTCATAATACATGCGTTTCTTTCATGTATCTATACGTGCGACAAACATATATCAATGACTTTCTAAAATTCGCGCTTAACTTTTCTGGTCTCGGGAAAGCCTTAATTGCAGTCGTAGGTCCATTGACACCAACCGGAGAAATATCTTGTTTGGCAAAAGGATATACCACCGGTTTTTTTAATTGCACTTTTAGATTGACTTTGAGCGCTTTTTTAATATGGCGAATGAGGAATATAACAAATAGACCAATGGATTTTCATATCGGAGTGGGGCTTTGGATGCTAAGTGCTGTTCTACAGGTATTATTGTTTTTGACGTATTTTTGATTATCTGATGATTAATTTTCTTTTAAATAAAAATTCATAGTTCACACGAGCTTTTATGACGAGGTTTTATTCGGTCTATGATTCCAGAGTCGGATACTACTGTGACGCACACATATCACGTGAAGCCATAATCTTCCAATGGTTGTTCGTCGGATTCGATTTCGCCATCGATGTTTTCGTCACTATAAGATTATGCCAAGTCCTTAACAAAGCGATCAATAATGCAAAAAATGTGACGAAAAATATGCGGCAACCATCTAAACGATCGTTGTTCAACTCGGTCAAGTATTGGAATTTCTTACGCTTGTTTTTAGCAGTCTTTTATCATGTCATGTCAGTGGTACAAACGACATTATATGCCGCGATTGACCAACTTACCATTACGTATATATTCACCTTCATTTTCTTGTCGTTGTCATATGTTATTACTCTTGACATAGATATTGTGAGGGTGATTGAGGGACGAAAACCACAGAATCATCATCAAAAAAAGAACGACATTAAAGGTGTGCATAAAGTCGAGAATAACCTAACGTTTACCAGTGATAACAATAGTAGGAATAGTAGTAATCCACAAATTCTAAACTCGTCGATTCTCGCTACCTCGACGAAAGTTTCGTCATCGCAGAACAATGATGACATTGATTCAGATATTAGCGTGGCAAGTTTAAATGAAAACCAAAATGACGTTCGCATTCAGATTTAAGATTGATATCGGTGTATTATTTTTGTAAATATTCTTTCTTAGAAATGTTGAAACTGTCGTGTTTTAGTATTAGAGCATTGAACAGATGTCATAATTTCTTTATATTGTTGTATATTAATCTAGCATAATTTGATATATATAAAGCATTATCTCAAATCCATGCGATTACTTTTAAAACAGGATAAGCTATTTATTCTGAAAGAAGGGATATAATTGGAACACGTTCCCAAATATTTTCTTGTGATTATTGGATGCTGATAACAGTTTGTCTCTCGCCAGTACGAGGAATCTATTATCGAAAAGAAAAAAATTGCTCAATAAATAATTTCCAAATCGTAAATGAAAAAACGAGTGATTTATTTACCTTGATTTCCAATAATCCGTCATTGAACGCGGCCTGAATATGATCTTTATCCAGAGTCATATTACGTGGCAAGTACACGTGTTTACGGAATTTGCCAATGTTTCGTTGGCGAACGCGAGAACTGGCAGCTTTATAGGCTTCTTGTTGTTTAGATTCACCTTGGATCACGAGTTCACGATCACGTAAATCAATCTGGATCTCTGTTTTTGGGACACCCTATTGATAATTATGCAAGAGGAGATTACTAATGATGTTTTAGTTATGAAATGAAAATACATACATACCGGAAGATCAACATGGATAATGAACTCATTATCATTTGCAAGAACATCAGTAGCGGGTCTCCAGACAGTATCACCTTCCCTTTCGGTCATAATTCTGGAACTGGCATGACGTGGAACACGATCTTGAATAGGAATACGACGAGTTACTCCTCGGCTGATGTCACCGTAGTCATCTCGATCAGAGTCTCTATGATCACCACGCTCATAACGTTCTTCACGTCCACTATCGGCACCTTGAACACCGACACTTCGATCACCTTGAGCACTAACACCTCGACCAGTCCATGGCCAACTAAAGTCAAGGTCAAATTGTGGGTCGTAGTCGAAGAATGGGTCGTAAAATCCGCCAAAGACAGACATGTTTGTTTTTATTCAAGTGCAGAGTTGTTGTTGAAGAGTAATAATTCTTTAAGTGAGAGAAGAAAAGAAATAATTATAAGTCGATTTATATAAGTTCTCAGAGTCCATAACTGACTACATATGTCATTTTTACGCCTTACGATTTATCAATAAATAATTCTTTTATAATGTAATTGAGATAAGCGTGGGATTTATCGTAATAATCATCAAAATAAATTAAATAATTAAAAGTTAGTATGATTTTTTTAATTAACGTAACGAAAAATGACGAAATAATATTCCAGAATCACGAGAATACACAAGGATCAACGATTTTTTTATAAGCGACTTGTTCTTGATTTCTAATCAAATGATTTAAGCGTAATTAATTTCCAATTATTCAAATTTAGTGTTTAACCACCACGATTTTTTGTCTAATAAAAGCTAAAAAACTCAAAATTATATGTAGAAGCGGGAAGTGCTTCGGAACAGTATTTGATCACGTGGCCTTCAAAAATCCACGCTTACGCGATCACGGAAAAGGTTAGGGGACGGACATATATGACGTTATTATAAAGGGAGGAGGGGTGAGATCAAAATCTCACGTCTCACGTGACTTTAAGTAATACAAGCCAATCAGAATATAAGAATGTAGTCTGATTATTTCAATTAAAGTGGCACGTGATTTTAATTTAATAGCCAATTAGAATATAGGAATGTAGAAATTATAGCGAGGAGCAATGCATATTACATGTATTATAATAATGTGAGATGACATTATAATGCGGTATGACATTATGATGCGAGATGACATTATTATTTAATGTTTGATTGCATATCTCACCTGGGGGAAGGGGGAGGGGTAGTTTTATAGTAATCCATAATGACGTTATATATGTCTGTCCCCTTAGGGAGAGTTATTATAGAGCTAACCCCCATTCCCAAATGAGATTTTTATTATATTTAATTGGTTATGATTTTTGATCACGTGAAAGGTAAAATTTTGAGACCCTCTCCCCTGATAATTACGCAATATCTGTCACGCCCCTTATTTTATCGTTTGCTTTTCCGAGATTTTTAATTAGATTAGAACTTCAAGCTAGATTTGACATCTGTTTTCCATATTTTTCTGTTATAAATGACACGTGATTCAGCAACATCCCGAAGCACCGTCCGTAGACTTCCCGGAGCAAAAATCAGCACATGATAACACGTGGTTTGTGATTTCATTGTGCAACAAAAAATGATAAATAAGGTTTTCTTCATTGTTATTCATTGTAAGTATTTGTTTTGATACGTTTAGCTCTATAAAGAACAGCTGCGCAACAAGTTTATTTACCCAATGATTCCCAAAATAGTCTTTTTCATTATAATGAATTTGGAGACAATGAAAGCTAAGAGCTAAGAATAGCAGCGGTATGGGTTGTGGGATATTCGTTAAATACATACACTTGATTATTCGCGAAGAATATCGAACAAAATAAATATAATGGTGCGAAAAACTTCGCTAGTCGTGCTGTTATTATTTTTTTTGTCGATAAATGAGATAGTCTCTGGACAAATAACTCCACCGTCGTTGCCGCCGTCAGTAACTTTAGGCGCAAGTCCGGTATAAATCTTATTTTCGTAAATATTTCAGAAGCATATATATATATATTTAAACTCAATCTTACTAACTCATTATTAAAGAGTTTACCGGTCACAACGGCTCCTTCGACCACAATACCATCAACAACAGCATTACCAACAATATTACCAATTAATACGGCATTGTCGATTGCGACTCCATCTTCTATTGTAGCGTCCCCTCCACCAACGGTATTTTACAATGTTTTAGCATACATGTGTATTTTATGTGCACTTCCATCGCATTCAAAGCAGATCTGTTCGCATTTAAGCCATAGTTTTCCTTTAAATATCACTAAAACATCATTCTTGTGATTGATATCATTCAATAATAGTTATCGTCAAGTGTTATTTCGTCAATCACGACAAGTACTCAATTAAGAGACACTCAACCTATCAGCAGCAGTCCGGGTATAAATTTTTTTCTTATTTTCGCGTACTTATTTTAAAGATTTTGAAATTATTCACATCACCAATCACCCAAAAATACCGATTCAGATGCGCTATCAACTTCTACGATCTTGTTCAATAGCCAGCAACAAAAAGATTTTAAAGAAATCGTTAAGTCAGGATCTAGGAAATGTGGACAGGTGGAATTTGATTCATTCAACGTGTGGTATTCTAAGAAGAAGAATAGAATTGCATTCAATGCCACTGGAAAGAGTTCTTTGAGCTTAAGTGATCGACAAGGTAAAGGTGTGCTTTAGATTTGATCAATATCGATATAAATGAATCATTAATTTATGTTTTTCATATCGATATATCCAGCAAGATTATTTGTATATTTCGATCCATCGCATGTACTTTTTGTGGATAAGCCGATCTGTTCTTCTGTCAACGATGAGGCTAGCAGTGGTGATTGTGTTTTAGGCGAAACTACGGATACTAATTTTCGATTAACAAGTGTTGTTGACACACGATTTAAAGACACATTGCCAGGTAGGTATATTTTTGAAATTTCGCAAGGTTCAAAACTGGATATAATAAAATTTACTCGATTCCTACGCAATAGATATCATTTTTAAGGTACCGGGGACAGGATCTTTTGCCATTCTTACGTTAACGCCACCAAATAATTCCGAGAATGCGACTGGTTGCGTATATGCATCAATTGGTAATCCGCACGTTGTAAAATCAAATATCGTGTCCGGAATTTCAGCGGGAATTGCGATCATAAGTGCATTGTTGATTATTGTGGCGAAATGGAGAAATTCAAATTCATGGCAAACTCGAGGCGAGAAAGAAAAAAAGAATATCAATCAGCAGCAGCAACTACAACAACAGTTACTACCTGAAAATTATCAATCACAACAGAATCCCGATCATCGATTCTCCTTAGATGAATATAATAATCCTCAGAATCCAGTTGCTTTCTGGAGTGCTTATCGACCTCATACAATGCATAATGGAATTGCATCTTCAATAGCCACATCACAAATTCCATTAAAACTTAGTAGAACGAGTACCCCTACTAATACCAATAAAAATTTGAAATCAATACAAGCACCATCACTTGAGGATTTTATTGGTATAGCACAATGGATTGTCATCACCGGATTACTTGCACTTCCAAATCTACCGATCGGATATCGACAATTCACTTCGAATTTTGGATGGTTATTTGGAATTGTCTCATCCACTTTCTTTTCTCGCTTAAGAGCCCGAGCATGTCCATTGCTCTTAAGCAATTGTTTGGCTTTTTCAAATGATCCTTCTTCAAATGATAGCAATAAGAATTGTACTTTGGAAGAATCTTTGGCATTGAATTCGGATATGAGACCACCAGAAAACTTGTTTGCGACTAATAATATTACAAAGACTACTACAAATACTTCCACCCATCTTAATGGAATCTTGTCATATGCTAGTGTATCAGATATTCCAGCTTCCAATTTTTTCTTTACTGTGTTGATGATCTTTTCAATTGCGATTGCATTGGTTATTCTATTGGTCGGATTTATGGGTGCAATCGCGCATTTTTATAAAAGATGGAAAGATATTGGACGGAATGTTCATTTATATGTTCCAGGTAAATTTTGCATAAGATAGTCTTTGATTTAAACGTTTTTCATTTTTAATCATTCATTTTATTTTATTATAAATAGCCGCGGTATTACAAGTGGTAAGCTGATATTAATATTTAATAAACAAATTATGCTCGATTGCTTACAATGTTCACTTTATTATTTTCAATGTTATTAAGGTATTATTGTTGTATCAGCCAATAACATTATTTGCCGTCTATCAATTAACAATTCAACATGAATGTTTGCTATTACGACTGCTAGCAATATCGGTAATTGGAATTTTCTCATTAGGCGCAATAATATTCTGCAGCTACAAGATCATTCATGCCTATATCACCACTCCCACTAAACTCTGGGAAACCAACGAATACCGAATAATCTATGCAAAATTATACAATCATTATCGCGAAAATCGCATTTTATTCTTTCTCTCACATGTGGCCATTATTTCTCTCCGCCCATTAATGGTCGGCGTTATTCATAGTAGTATCGGTCAGCTAATAGGAATGGGAATTTTGGAGTGCGCATATATGCTGCTTCTGATATTCTATCGACCTTTCTATCGTAAATCCACAAACCGAATGAACATTGGACTAGCCTCCGTTCGTTTTGTCACGGTTATTATGTTAATTCCGTTCATAGGCGAGGGAAACATGGTCTCGTCTGCCACACGAATTTCTCTAACAATCGCGTTGATCATGTTGCAAGGTCTTACTATTGGATTGATAGCATTATTAATTCTGATTCATGCTGGCATTTTTATACGAAAGTACATTAAGACGAGTTGCAATGTTAAGGTCGCTAACATTGATAATATTGACGCGGAGAAAAAAATGGAATTATACGCGGAAAATGCATTCACTAACGCTAGTAACGATAGCGATGATTACACATGTGTTGACCTTGATGATAATACATGTAATACTAATATTAAACAACATAGCGATAGTGACAATAGAAAAAGGAGCGTATCTTCTTCGTCGTCGACAAGAATTTAACAACTCAATTAATTATAATGTTATTTATTTATTTATTGTCGCTTATCGTTATCGTTTTACATGTACATGTATATAATAAAATTTCACGTGCCTTTAAACAATGCATGATTGATGTCGTGTTCACAACATAAACCATAAAATCAGATAACTCGAACTTAACATTTTAATTTAACTTATTCGTGTTTTTTGATAAAATATTAACACTAATAATAAATATGTCGATATCATCATTCGATTTTGACAGTCGTCGTGCCTCTGAAGATGTCGGAGGCGGCGGGTTTGCTATTCGCCCTTCGTTTGCTAAGAAGTAAGTTTGGATTTTTTTTGAAGCTGTATTGTTCACCTTATATTTATTATTGTAGTTTTTCTTGAAATATTACGGCGAAAGGATGATCGAGCAAATACCTATTTATAATAATATATATTAATTCTAAAAATATAAAAGATTTAATCAACGAGTAGCGAATGACATTATCAAGCAAATTCTGAGCGATCGATTAAAAGATGCCATCTACGATAAAGATCAAGCGCCCGGTTGGGCTCGTGAGATTGCTGAAGAGATAAAGAAAAAGTTGTTGGGTGAATATCTAAAATAAACATAATTTCTGTAAAAGGATTGATCAGTGAATTATTAATCTCTGTTTCTTTATAATCCAGAATTGGATCTTAGTAAATACAAGTACGTAGTGAATGTGACGATTATGGAGAACAAAGGAGAGGGTGCCAGGTATATCTTCTTGCTTTTAAATTTAGGATTGAAATATCATCACGTGTCTATTTGAATTTTTTTCCCGCAAAAATATTTCGGATCTCGATTAACAATCCCAATGACTTTATTCTAGGATGCAGTGTCAATGCTATTGGGATAGCGATACTGATAATATTGCGCAGGAAGTATTTACAAATGTGAGTAAAGGATTTAAGTTTGCTTGTTTTGTGTCTTTTTTTAAATCGAATGTTTGGGTAAATTTTTTTTATTTGTTTCTAGGATTCATTAATTTGTGTTGCTGTCGCTTTTGGAGTATATCTATATTGATATTTATATACTTAGCTTTTTAAAAAAAGCTTTCAGTCTTATTTAATGCATTATGATTTATATATCATTATTGAAATAACAATTTATTTTTTACATTTATGTGACTACGTAGCTGCCTGCTGCTAATTAGACTGATTCACAAATTCAGTTGCAACGACAAAAAATATAAAACTCACTAGTCTTTAGAATTTGTAGGATTAACGTCGAGTTAACAATACGTTTAGTTTTGTTCAAGTTCGTTTTTAAATATCTCTGAAGCACGTACAACATCAAGTGCATGTGATCTAGTCAAAAGATGGAACACCCGCGCGATGAATATCACGTTTCTCATGATTGTAGAAAATGCACCGATTGATTAACGTTAACGTTAAACCATTTTTGAATGGATCCCTTTCGAAAGATTAAATTGGGATCACGAAAAATCTATTTTCTAAAGAACACAAGAAGTTGAAATTATTACATGTAAACAGTTATGGCGGTCTTCGTATTAGAATATCTCACAATTTGATTGGTCGATTAACGTGAAACGGTAAATTGTATGCATTACTTCTTTTAACGTTAACGTTAAGCATTTACAACATACAATTTTGTGGCACTTTTCGTATTAACAATGTTATTATAGAATTCATTATCCATGTATTATTAATATTGTAATTAGACATGTAATTTGTATATCGATATCGACATACACTTTATCATGACTTAAAATCTATTAGTCAAAACCTTTTAGGGAGGCCCCGGTTTACCGTGTACAACTGATTGTTCGTTAATTAAATTTAACCTCATGCATATTTTGATTTATTGAGCACTTCCGTTATGATAAATATAAACTGGGCTTCACAGAGAATAAATAGAAGTCCTATGAAGAATCATATACACATGCCTCTGGAGACAACGACACTAAAAAAAGGTCATTATATAAAGCATGCCTTTAATAGGTCACTGTCGTTATATGTGTATCTAACACACAATGAAGCTGACTCATGTTTTTATTCTCACAAACGAGTTTATGAAAAGTTTTTTAGCTTTAATGTTGTTACTATTGTTGTTGCTGCTATTGTTAAAAGTACGTAATACGAGAAATTCAATTACTGTGCTTCTATAATTAACTTTGTTCGCATTACTATTATCATTGTTATTTATAATTTTGAATGTCATGTACCAATTATACTAAAAAATCAGCAATTGCTTTTCAGGAATTAACGTTAATGATTTATTAAGTGTCACCCAAATTATCGAATATAGTTACAATTTATTATCATTTTAATTATTATACATGTAACAATCTATTTTACCAATTAATCCCGAATAGTGGTCCGGTGCCCCAAACCGTAGGATCATCGCAGACCTCTACATAGCCATAATAAACACCTGCATTGAGCTCAGCTGTGAATCCAGCATAGGTATTTCCGTAATTCTATGTTTTGCAAAGTAGTATCAAATTAAACAATTCGTATGACATACAAGACAATATGTAAAGGTATCAAAACATATAGCATATACTTACGAATTCACCGAGATATTTGTATTTAACTATGTCTGGTCCGTCTCCGCGCTTTCTGGAGACCCAAACGTTGACTTTACGATCTTTTCGTTTTGATTGAATCGAAATAGAGACCAGTCAATATCAATATTATCGAAAAACATACGTACAGATGTTACTCACTCCATTTGTCTGGAATATCGACGTTAGCATTCCAGCTAACACCTTGCCATGATCCAAACTTATAAGTTCCCGCGCTTGGTGCTGTCACTTGAATTGAACCTCCAGGAGTAGGTGGTTTATCGCTAACAGGATCCTGAGAATTTGGAATTGGAGAAGTCCAAGCGAGAGCAAAGAACAAAGCGGCAATAACCAAGAAGAGAGTTTGGATTTTTGACATCATTGCAAGTTATTTCGTGTAGAGATTAGATTGTTATTGAAGAGAAGTGGTTGATTAGAAACAACTTACTGGAAATTCAGATGAAAAAGCGTCCTTTTTATAGTTCTTGGTGGTCGTTATTTTGTTATCATCATTATTGCCTCCTAATTAATCAAAGATGATTTCAAAAAAGCCACTTTAACGTTAAAGGATAAATTGTTCGATTACCGACCGTTCTACTAAAAAAAGGAGCTTTTTAATTAACACAAATCGAAAATGAATTAAAAAAGGAAACTAATTAAGCTCAGCCTTTAAATACGTATGTAAATGCTGCCATTGTTAAAAACAGTTAACGTTAGATATTCGTTGTGATATACTATATTTAGATATTTACGCAAATTTAACTATATATGGTTACCACAACATACAAATACGAGAAAGAACAAGGCGGCAAGTATATCTTATAAATTCATTAAATAGAGTTTTTATTGCCAGTTGTTTTATTCAGCTGATTAAAAACAGCATCAACAAAGCCACTTTAAAAGGGAAAAATGCAGATTGATGATCACATTGCAATTTTAATCCTGTTGCTATTGGAGTGATTTTATAACGCAGGAACACGGAATAACTTTAATGACAATTTCGATTTGTTTCCGACAAAGTGCTTTCACAAATGGGATAACTTCATTTTTCCTGAATTTGGAAACCTGTTAACTCGTTTTGCATATTTTACTTATATTTTGTATCCCTCTCTAGATATCTCCTTTATTCTAAATCCTGAATTCTTTGTACAATACGAATAAGGATTCCTGTTCCTAACTTTTGGTGGACAAGAAATTGCGGTTTACTGTTTTTAGCGATGGAAATTTCGATTTCGATCACAAAGTTACACATCCAATATAGTGACATCATAGCTATTTGAGGTTCATTTTGTTATACATACGTACATAATATCCTTGCCATTTTAGTTTCATTTTTGTAAATAATTAAAATTTATTAACGTTAAATACAAATGTAAAATTTAAAATACAGTACAGTATACAGGTTTACGTATTTATAATTTATAATTCAAATGTGATTAAGGATATTAATAATAAGCTATCTTTAAATTGTAAACTTTGGTCCGGTACCCCAGACAGTTGCATCATCGCTAACAACTACGTA